GTCCAGGGAGCGCTCCTTCACCGGGTGCACCTTGGAGCGCGGCGGCTTCTTTGGTATCGGGGGAGGCACCTTCTTCTCCTCCTGCACAGACAACAGGGGCGTCAGGCTGGGACCTCCCAGGAATTGGCATCCCAGAGCTCGAGCCATGCTGGGGGGCTCCACAGACCCTCCCACAGTTTGCAAGGCAGGGCTGCACATCCCTTTATCCATCCTGTGCCAGGACCCTGCCTGGCCCTTTGCAGTGGGAGAACAGCCCTTCTCTACCCTCGCTTTTTCCCAGCTCTGGTTTTCAAGGGTTTGCTAAAAGCATCCACCAGTGGGAGCCCAGCAGTGGTTTGGGTTCAGATGTGCTTGGGGATGAGGAGGGAGGAAGAGGTGACAGGTACAAGTGCCAGTGGCAGAGTTCTGCCCTCACCTTGGGCTCCATGATCTTCCACCCATTGGCCTTGAGCTGCTGGAGCTCCCCAAACTTCATGCTGACATCCTCAATGGAGAGCTGCAGGAGGTCCCAGAAGCCAGCCAGGTCTTGGAAGGTGGGCACAGGGAATGCGTTGGGATCCTGCGGGGACAGAGGGACAGAGTGCCACCCTCACCCATCAGTGGGATGTTGGCTCTGGGGCCATCCCAGCCCTCTCTGCTGGCTCTGTGTCCAGCTCTCCTCCACGGTGGTCCATGGCTGAGAGTATGAGACACCCCCTCCCCAGCACAGCTGACCCCTGGCACGCTGCCCTGCCCACACTCACCATGTTCTGCTGGCAGAGGCGGTAGAACTGCTGCACCTTCTGAGACATGAGGAGCTGGGCACTGCCCACCGCGCTCCGGATCTTCTCCAGGACTGGGGGGGAGAGCAGACAGTCACAGGCAGCTCAGAGCCCTCCAACACACCGTGTCTCTCCTCTCCTTCATAGCCCCAGAGGGTTTCCCAGTGTTTCTTGCCCTCATCCAACCCTTTCAACCTTGGCAGGGAAGATGCTCCAAGGTGGGAGCACTGCAAGACAATGACTGCGCCCACCCAGCTCTGCAGGATCAACCTTGGCAGGGAAGATGCTCCAAGGTCGGAGCACTGCAGGACAATGACTGCGCCCCCCCATCTCTGCAGGATCCCCTTTGCTGTGACACCCCACCCGACTCACTCTCCTCGGGCAGGTCATAGTCCTCCGCCTCCCTCTCCATCTGCTGGCACCATCCCTCCATCTTCTCCACCTCAGCCTGCAGCAGTTTGATGAACCACTCCCCGTCGCGGTGGCACGGGGAGGCGCGGCCGGAGT